TTAAATTAAAAAAAGAAAGAAAAAAGTAAGGGGAGGAGGAAATATTAAAGAACTAGAGGGTAGTTATGAGGAATTGAGTTGCATATTTAGGTTGCCTTGAGTAGTATTAACATCCATATTTTGTCCTTCATTTCATAGCCTTCCATGTATATGGAAGGTCTTCTTTAATTTCTCTGGGTAATATTTTATAGTTTTCATTATACATGTCCTTTACCTCCCTGATTAAACTTATTCTTAGGTGCTACATTCTTTTAGGTTCTATCTTAAATGGAATTGTTTCTTTAGTTTTCTTTTAAGAGTGCTCATTGTATATAAAAACCCACTTGATTTTTGTGTTAACTATATTGCGTTACAATTTTCAAGACATGTAAGATTATCTTACATGGTGGATGCTGGGTATAGGGGGTGTAAGGAGGTTTGGGTTTCTTATCGAAAGATGTTTCAGCTCGTCAGTAGCTCTGCTGCCTCCTCCAAGGGCCCCGTTGCATACACAGCTCATCTGACGTCATATCTGATTGTCTTGAAGATGTACTTACCCACAGGGTTTTTTTGATAGGATTTCCACCTCCTCCTCCAACTTTTCTCCTGCGAGGGCTCTTTTCCTTCCAGGACATGGTTTCATTTTCTGTGCTTTCTGTTTCTTGGCAGCACTGATATTTCGTCTGGAAGGACATATCCAAGAATCCCTAGAGCTCTTTCAGACCTGTGCCATTCTCAGCCCTCAGAGTGCTGACAACCTCAAGCAGGTGGCCAGATCACTGTGAGTAACTGCAGTTTGGGAGCCCCAGGAAACTCAAAGACAGATAGCAATGCGAAATGCATTCTCAGGCAGAGGCTGCTGCTAGCAGTGTGAGCCCTTAATAGATGGGGCTTATGGCTTAGTGGATATATTTGGACTCACTTTTGGGAGCGTGAATTGAATACTGAAATTGGAGAATATAACTATTTCAAATACTGCATATTTCCAGTTTGATGGTCTGAGGCACTGATGCTATTTATAATGTGAGCACTGATATGTTGTGACCCAAATCCCTAAATTGTACTAACAGTTCATGGAGTTTTTCTCCACGAACACAGCACTTGACTTACAGTAGAGATTAAAATGAATGACCTGAAGGCTCCTGAGTTCAGCAGGCAGCCCCCCGTCTGTAGGCACTATTAGGTATGCCCCCTTTGCAGAGTAGTAAAGTCGGGGGCATTACAATTTTCTTATGGCATGGTCATACCTTTGTTGTCATGTGAATATGACGGCACTTCAAACAGTCTGTAAGAAAAATCCCATTATCTCTCAATTCCACGTTTTCATAAATATTTGAAGCCCTGCCACAGACCCCCGCTTCCCAATTTCTCTCCAGATTCAGGAACCGATGTCTAAGAAAGAGATGAAGGTTTGGGGAGGGGAGATTTATTATCATCATCATGGTGATAAATATATGATGGCAGCTCTTGCTTAGTTTTATGTGTGATCTTCTGGGTTCTGTTTTGAGCTACATTTGTGTGGTACATTGTAGAGGAAAAGATGACAGACGACTTTGACTAAAATCAGTGTAGAATCGGACCAAGGCCTTGAAACAGTCACCAGTGCAAGCCTGTCAGAAGAGCTTTTGCCACAAGTACTCAGGAGCAGGGCTTCAACCAGCCCGGCCCAGTGATGGCCCGTGATGCCACAGCAGAACAGACCTACATGTTCACAGCCTTGGTGAATCAGAGTGCTAACTGGAACGGGAGAAATTATGGATTGAAGTCCGGCTAGAAACTTAATCTCCCTCTTAGACAATAAGGACAGGGTGCATGTTGCATAGCAACCAGATCTCTTGACCATTAAGCTGGAAATAGCAGTGCCTGATGGGGCTCTTTTGAATGCGTACTGCTCTTCATATCCTGGCATGCGCGTACATGACTGAGACTCCAGAAAGGGCTCGCTCCACCTCTTCTGAGTCTTCCAGAAAGGGCTCGCTCCACCTCTTCTGAGACTCCAGAAAAGGCTCGCTCTACCTTTTCTGAGTCTTCCATTCCAGGCCTCAAACCTGTCGTTTTTTTGGTTCTAGTTAGTATTCCGGATCATCCAAATGGAAAAGCCAGGTCTGTTCCAGTTTTGCTGTGTCAACCACACTGAACTGAAGTCCTGACAGGAGCCTCACTCACCGCCCCAGCATTGCTAGCTTCTAGGAAAGAAGCTTCTAGAGTTCCCCATTGAGTGGAGTATGAATGAAATGCAGGGCTAATGAGTGGGGTTATAGGCTTGGAAATTTGAGGTAACAATTATGGAAATATATTTCTTTCACAGATTTCTTTTGGGAAAACATAAAGCTGCCATAGAAGTATATAATGAAGCAGCTAAACTGAACCAGAAAGATTGGGTAAGCAGAGAACTCTCCATTCTTTATTATCAAATAAACTAATGGTTCCTTGTTACCTGACTCTCTTGTGCTATTATTATTATTGAGTTATACATGCCAACAGTACCTTTATTTTATGCTCAGGCTTGATGAGTTGGCCAGCTATTGGACTCCAGTCTTCCTCCTTTATAGCCTTACTAACAGGGCAGTCAGTCCCAACTGTGACTCCCAAGAACAGTCTCCTTGCCCTTGTCCTCTCCTTCTCCAAAGCTGTGTTAAATAAAGGAGAAGTTATTGTGAGGGCATTTATGAGACTCCATCAACCTTAAAGGCAGGACATTCGGATTTGACATGCAGAACTGCAAAGCCTCAGCAGCCAAGGTAGCTACTTTCTACATCTGTTGCTGCTTTTTTCTCCTTTCGGTTCCCAGAGAAACCAAACTCACTGCCATCAACTTGGTTCTAATTCATAGCGGTTTCTGAGACTAATTCTTTCTGGGAGTAGAAAGCCTCAATAATCTTTCTCCTGTGGAGAGGCTGGTGGTTTCTAACTGCATACCTTGTGGTTAACGGCTCATGCAGAGCTCACTGTACCACCAAAAAAATAAAACTAATTGCCATCGATACTGATTTATAGCGACCCTATAGGACAGGGTAGAACTGCCCCTGTGAGTCTCCGAGACTGTCACTGTTTATGGGAGTTGAAAGCCCCGTCTCTCTCTTACAGCACGCCGGGTGGTTTTGAACTGCTGACCTTTTGGATCACACCCTAACAAGTCACTAAACCACCGGGCACAGGGGCTCCCTTTTTTGTAGGTTAGGTGTTGGCAAACTTTCTCTGAAAAGCCAGGTGGTAAACGTTTACATTTTATGGCTCCATGTGATCTCTGTAAAATATCCATGGATAATACAGAAGTCATTAGGCCTGGATGTGCTCCAGTAAAATTTTGTTTACCAAAAAAGGCACGGGACAGATGTGGCTCACAGCCCATGTTGTTCTGACCTCTGCTGTAGATGTTTACAGACCAGCTCCAATGTCAGATAGCCATCACAGTGGCCTCTAGATGGTGCTGCCAGTCCCCATTCACCATCAGTAAATCTAGTGCTTGCAGCTCTGTTCCAAACCAGGCTTCTAGTCAAGAGGGATCTGGTTGGCTCAGGTGTCCTTGCTTCAGTGGGCTGAGAGATGGAGCTGTGTGGCCAGCTCCCCTTATAGCACAGACTGAGGAGTATTTCCCGAGACAGCACAAAAGGTGTAGGTGAGCAACAACTGTGCTTGATCTAATGCACCTGTCAGTTGTAATTATATATGTAAGAGCTCCAAATAAAATCTTTTTAAAAAGAGGCATAGGTGGTGGGCAGCTCTTAGAGAACAGTGGTCCAGGGCATGGGGTGGGCGTTATCATAGACCTTTGTCTTTTTCGTGTTAAGGAATTTTCTGGAATTCAGTTTATTTGAGTTAAATATGAACTCTTGTTAAAAAAACGAAACATAACCTAAAATAGCTATCTCGCCTGTTTTAAAAGCTTAGCCTTTGGACTTACAGTAAAATGGCAGACTGGGAGAGCAAATGAAACAGACACAGATGATAATCCGGAATCCCCGAGCTTCAGAGGAAAAGCTCAGGCAGTGGACTGAATAATGACTAGGAGAAGCCACCAGCCAAAGTTGAGACTTTGCTGAGCAGCAGCAGCCTTTTGATGTCTGTAGTGTCCTCTAGTAGTTCTGTAACAACTCCGCCTTCTCCCTTTCTTTTGTGTGTAGGAGATCTGCCATAACCTTGGGGTTTGCTACATTTACCTGAAGCAGTTCAACAAGGTAACTCACCAAAGAGGATTTATTTGAGGGGACCCACACCGTGGCCCAGGTGTCTTTGCTCTCTGTACGATTCTTAGTGTTTGCCGAGGTGCTTGGAAAAGAACATGTAAAATGCCGTATACAATTACCCCCATTTCTGGTGAGCAGGAAAAGGAAGTCATCTGGAAATACTGAGGGAATGACAGTCTGGTCCCCTTTCTCCTGTCTTCTTGAGTCTTTCTACTCCCTGTTTAATTTTCCAGTACAGAAACACAGATTCAGTGAAACTTGAATATCAGAATGTGGATTCTTTTTAAAAGATTTTTAATCATTTTATTAGGGGCTCATACAACTCTTATCACAATCCATACATACATTAATTGTGTAAATCACATTTGTACATTCATTGCCCTCATCATTCTCAAAACATTTGCTTTCCACTTAAGCC